CTGATAGCATTGGCATTGTTTCTCATATTTAGAAAAAAGTCATTATTCATTCTGTCATTTGTCATTTTTGCGGCCTTTGCTTCATTTACGTTACTGCCTTCTCTAAATGACATCAGTGTTATTATTATTATTATTATTATTATTATTATTATTATTATTATTATTATTATTATTATTATTATCTGTGAGAGGGTGTGTCTGCTTTCTGTGATCTTTCTGAGGTCTTCATTCTTCCCATATCTAAGCATCTGAAATTTGTCACCATTGAACATCATGTCATTTATCATTATCATTTACCCCTCGGAAGAGGGGTAAATGATACTTGTTTGGTATCGTCCGCAAAGGATGACATGAAGCTGCGGTTGGTGTTTGTCTCTTCATCTGCCATGAGAATGAGACCATAATGGTGCCATGACGTGCCTTAGGGTACTGAAGTTTTTACTGTGCTGAAACACCGTTTTGTTCACTACTCAATTACAAATTTTGAAGATCTAATTCCTTCCTTTCCTGCTATATCTATTGTCCTCATTTTAAAGGTTGTTATTCCACAGTCACATTTGTCAAATGCCTTTGCAAAATCCGCGCAAACCTCATTTTTTTTTATGAAACCTGAGAGATTTTGTCTTATGGTGCAATTATGGTTGACCAGGTGGGTCTTCCTGCTGTAAATCCATATTGTATAAGTCATGCTTTTCCACAACAGGAGTAAAGATGGCGTCTCAGCAAGTTTTTAAAAGACTTACGATGTGCGATGTTAAGTGCCAGTGATCTGAGCTTGTTTCCCAGCATTTTGTTACTTTCCTAGGGTTGTTTATCTTTGCGTTTCTTTTCCCAGGGTTGTTTTTGTTTACTCGGGATTGTAGATTTTTTGCTTATTTGTTTATTAAGAAGTATGTACCTTTGTGTTTTTTGAAGGATTGTTCAGTATTTGTTTGCCCAGATTTGTTATTTTTTAGGTTTGATTCTAAAGATTTTTTTTTTTTAATTGCTTATTTTTTGTTTACCCAGGATTGTTTATCTTCGTGTCTCTTTCCACATGACTCTATTTGTTGTATCTGTTGTATTATACCAGCAAGTGTTAGTGTTCGTGTGCTTACATTTCCCAGCACTCTGGACCCCTCGAACATTATTGGCACGTTGCCCTCCATCAATACTCACCGTCTCTCACCCACCCTCCCCCACCACCTCAAAACCCCTCACCCTCCCCCACTACCTCAACCTCTCACTCTCCCCTACCACCACAACCTCTCACTCTCCCCACCACCTCAACCTCTCACTCTCCCCTACCACCACAACCTCTCACTCTCCCCACCACCTCAACCTCTCACTCTCCCTACCACCACAACCTCTCACTCTCCCTACCACCACAACCTCTCACTCTCCCTACCACCCCAACCTCTAACCCTCCCCCACCATCAACCTCTCACTCTCCCCTACCACCACAACCTCTCACTCTCCCCCAACACCTCAACCTCTACTTCTCCCTACCACCACAACCTCTCACTCTCCCCACCACCTCAACCTCTCACTCTCCCCTACCACCACAACCTCTCACTCTCCCCACCACCTCAACCTCTCACTCTCCCCTACCACCACAACCTCTCACTCTCCCCCACCCCTCAACCTCTCACTCTCCCTACCACCACAACCTCTCACCCTCCCCCCACCTCAACCTTCACTCTCCCTACCACCACACACCTCTCACCTCCCCACCACCACCTCAACCTCTCACTCTCCCTACCACCACAACCTCTCACCCTCCTCTACCACTCAACCTCTCACTCTCCCTACCACACAACCTCTCACCCTCCTCTACCACCTCACCTCTTACCTCCCCTACCACCTCAACCTCTCACTCTCCCTACCACCCTCAACCTCTCACCCTCTCTACACCTCAACCTCTCACCCTCCTATACCACTCAACCTCTCACCCTCCTCTACCACCTCAACCTCTCACCCTCCTCTACCACCTCAACTCTCACCCTCCTCTACCACCTCAACCTCTCACCCTCCTCTACACCTCAACCTCTCACCCTCCTCTACCACCTCAACCTCTCACCCTCCTCTACCACCTCAACTTCTCACTCTCCCCTACCAGCACAACCCCTCATCCTCCTCTACCACCTCAACCTTCACCCTCCCCTACCACCTCAACCTCTCACCCTCCTCTAACCACTTCAACCTCTCACCCTCCTCTACCACCTCAACCTCTTACCCTCCTCTACCACCTCAACCTCTCACCTCCTCTACCACCTCAACCTCTCATCCTCCTCTACCGCCTCAACCTCTCACCCTCCTCTACCACTACAACCTCTCACCTTCCCTACCACTTTAACCTCACACCTTCCCCTACCACCACAACCACTCACCCTCTACCACATCAACCTTCACCTTCCCCTACCACCACAACCTCTCACCTTCCCCCACACATCAACCTCTCACCTTCCCCACCACATCAACCTCTCACCTTCCCCCACCACATCAACCTCTCACCTTCCCCACCACATCAACCTCTCACCTTCCCCACCACCTCTACCTCTCACCCTTCCCTACCACCTCAACCTTCACCCTCCCTACCACCACAACGTCTCGCCCTCCCCTACCACCAAACCTTTCACCCTCCCTACCACCTCAACCTCTCACCCTCCCCTACCACCTCAACCTCTCACCCTCCTCTACCACCTCAACCTCTCACCCTCCTCTACCACCTCAACCTCTCACCCTCCTCTACCCCCTCAACCTCTCACCCTCCCTACCACCACAACGTCTCACCCTCCCTTACCACCTCAACCTCTCACCCTCCCCTACCACCTCAACCTCTCACCCTCCCCTACCACCTCAACCTCTCACCCTCCTCTACCATCTCTCCATTTTACCCCCTCTACTATCTTTTCCTCTCGTCCACCCCTTCCATTTCTCAGCTTCCCCACCCTCACTCCTTTTCACCCTTCCCCACCATTTCGCCTCTCCCCATTCTCTGTAATTATAGTTGTCATTAACGACATAAGGTACATCTTGTGACAGTAGAACTTGGATTTTGTTGAAATGTTTAATATCAGGAGGTCGTGCCGAGCCTCAAGCGACTCCCTGAAACTTCAAGAGGTGAGTAGATACGTCATATACATCCAAGAGTCCATTACAAGTGGTAGTTCTCGTAGGGAGGGTGTCACAATGCTGCCTGATATTTGTAGAAATTACAGTAAGGTAATTGAGGAAGTAGATCATGGTATTGAATATGATATTGTGTATATGGACTTCAGTAAGGCTTTCGATAGAGTTCCACATCAGAGGCTATTGAGGAAACTTAAGGCACACGTAATAGGAGGAAAAAAAAATTCCTGGGTAGAGTCATGATTGACAAATAGGCAGCAGAGAGTTTGCATAAATGGGGAGAAATCAGAATGGGGCATGTCACAAGCGGTGTTCCATGGGGTCAGTGTTGGGCCCTTGTTGTTCACAATTTACATAAAACTACATAGATGAGGGAATAAATAGCGATATAAGCAAATTTGCTGATGACAACAAAATAGGCCGTCTATTTTATTCTAATGAGGACATTAGAGCACTCCAGGATGATTTAAATAGACTGATGCAGTGGTCGGACAAATGGCAGATGCCGTTTAATATAGACAAATGCAAAATTCTAAATGTTGAACAGGACAATAACCATGCCACATATAAACTAAATAATGTAGATCTTAATATTACTGATTTTCGAAAAGGATTTAAGAGTTCTGGTTATCAGTAATCTGAAAACCAAGACAACAGTGCATTAGTGTTCGCAATAAAGCTAACAGAATCCTTGGCTTCATATCTAGAAGTATAAATAACAGGATGTTTAGGTAAGACACATATGCAACAGTTAGGTATCTTTATTTCGAAACGTTTCGCCTACACAGTATGCTTCTTCAGTCGAGTACAGCAAAGTTGATAGACGCAGAAGAGACTTGAAGACGATGTAATCAGTCCATCACCCTTAAAGTTTTGAGGTGGTCAGTCCCTCAGTCTGGAGAAGAGTATTGTTCCATTGTCTGGAATAATATGGAGTTGAAGTGATAGGATGGAGCCTTATATAGCGCCAGGAGGTGAGACGTAGGTCACTAGTAGAACGCAGATGTTGGGAGGACAGGTCCCTCTCAAATCCAGCCTTTCTCACTAGCAGAGGTTGTTCAACAACCTCTGTGGGTGGGTTAATTGGACCTGACTAGCTTGTGCTAGTAGGTCAGTTGCCGTGCTTCTTTCTTAGTGAATGGGACATGACCTGACTACCTTAAGGCATTTAAGTCGGTGAGCCAATTGGACTTGCCTCGCATGGGCCAGTAGACCTGCTGCAGTGTTCCTTCTTTCTTGAGTTCTTAAGTGTGGTAGGTAGCGTGTGTATCTGATACTGGCGACATCTACCGTCAATCCCTACAAGTATTTTAAGTTTGAAAAGCAGTAGTAATAGCATTATTATTAAGTCAGTACCTGATATTTTCTATTGAAAGGTGACTTGTTAGCTCAATATTAGTGTTCGGCTCACAGTCGAATACATCCAGGTTCAGTTCCAAGTCGTGCGGGCAAGTCTGTTCACTGGGTAATTATAGACTGCTGTATCGCATCTAGACAATCAAAGGGTATTATACATTACTTCAGACCTGGGCTTTGGCATGAGCTGAGGTAGTATAAAGCTCTTAGCTTGTAAATTCAACAACGTAAAGAATCCCGACACTTGGTTTTCATTCCAGCTTGTCATTCCTCTTCACCCACAGTCTTCCCATTCTGTGTGGCCAGCATGTGTGAGAGAGAGAGCTTTCTGCTTAACTAACCTGATCTAATTTGTATAGATCGGAGCTGGATCAGCAGCTCATTTTTTTCTTCAGCCGGTAACTTCGAAACAGATATATTTTATGCATTTGCTATGTACTCCAGCATTCCTATACTCTTCCTTCCACCCCCCCCCCCCTTTCCTGTCATTGACCAGGACTCCTTCCAGCGTGTCTTTGCATATTCTTCCCCAGGATGACATCGGGATCAGCGGGGTGATCGGGTCAGCGGTGTTCAACATCATGTTCGTGATCTCTGTGTGTGCACTGTTCTCCGGGCGTGTGATCACATCAACTGGTGGCCGCTGATACGAGACTCCACCTACTATTGCCTCGCTATCTTCGCTCTCCTGCTTACCATTTATGACGAGGAGGTTACCTGGTTAGTCACTCTTAATCTCCTCCTCCTTCCTACATTGCTCTTCTTCCACCAATAATAACAAAAAAGGCACAATACCGTAACTGGAACGATACACAAATAACCCGCACATAGAAGAGAGGAGCTTACGACGACGTTTCGGTCCGACTTGGACCATTTATTTTGTAAATGGTCGGACCGAAACGTCGTCGTAAGCTCCTGCTCCTCTCTTCTATGTGCGGGTTATTTGTGTATCTTCTTCCACCCTCCGTCTTCGCCCTCTTGTTCACTCCTCGCCCTCCATGTTTCTAGTTAGGGCCTCCTGTCGCCCTGGGCAGCGTACCACGGTGAACAAACTCTTGACCATTTTTGCCCCATTACTTGAGCCTTTCAGCGACATTGTGAGAGGTTTTAAAAATCATCCAGGCTTTCTTAGGTCTCTCTTTATCCTTGCTTCTCAACTCTCCCAATTAGTGTTGCTGGTAGTCTCCCCGTATGTTGCACAGCGTGCGTCTCACAGTGTTTCTACTCCTACAGGTACGAGAGCACCTTCCTGCTACTGTTGTACTTACTCTACATCGTGATGATGTGGAATAACTCGCGCCTCGAGGTCTGGGCCAACACACTCAACGTGCCCTTCAAGAACGCCACCCAGGGCGAGAAGTCCACCCTTTTCGGCACAAAGCCCGTACCTCCCATGGGGGACCCTGGTCTGGTGAAGGACCCCACAGACCCTAATAACCCGGAACTAGGACAACAAG